ATAAAATGAACCCATGCTGGCGGCTTTAGGAGATTTCAGGAAACTTAGCTGAGTATGAAAATTTATCTCTAATTCCATATTCAATAAGTAATAAGCATATATTTTTCTTTACCTTTTTAAGGAAAAAACTAATCTATTAGCCACTTCACTAATAATTAATGTTTTTTAAACATTTCTATTTTTGATTGTTAATAATATCGACATATATATGCCTCTTTTAATTATCAATTAAAACCATGCAATATTAGTTCTCCTTTAGATTAATATAAATTAATAACCATTTTACTATGCATTTTTATTACTAAAGTCTAAAGACCTTATGAATGCTTCAATTATCGACAATAAATTATCGACCTTAATTAATACTAGTAATTTTTATTTCAAGTAATTACTTAATGACATTTCTTTATTTGTTCGTAGATAATCTTGCCAAAAGGTGGATTAGATCTCACCATATTTCTCGTGCACAATGGGTTAAAAAGTAAAAAAATAGTAAAAAGAGGTACCAACAGAAAACATGTGAATGTTACATCACAAATATGAATGTGTGGGAACAACATTCACTTCTCAATTTAACGCAAGCTTGTAATATTGTGTTCCTCAACATTACTTAAATATCATAAAATAATATTATGTTCGATATCGTCATGTCTTCCTTGTTATTTTCTATTATATTTAGGTAAAGTTGGGTAAATATTTTTGTTACTTTCGTGATACTAAGGTAATTGAGTTGTTTTACCAATATAAAAATTAGTTTAATAACTTTAGTGCAATAAAAAAAAAGTATTAGTGATTATCCATTATCGCTGGTTACAAAGCTACAAAGGACCGCATTAGTCTAGGGAAAAAAGGATTGCATTAGCTTGACCAACAGAAAGCAGGGGCGATACCAAAATTTAAAGAGTTGAGAACTATAGTACCAGATGGAAATGAGAGAGATACGAAACAACAAAACAGAGTTGAGAAGTATATTACCAGAAATTGAATAGGAAAAGTTCTATGGCAATAACACTAATAGCCAAGCCAAGGAGTACAGGTAAAACGGTGCGAGAACTGACATCCTCCAACCGATTGAGGTGTACAAGAATAGGAACTATACATTATCTATTTCTTCTAAGTTTATTTCATTTACGTCAAGTGAAGATTTCCATTTCTCTTTAATATATTGTGTTCTTGTGATTCTGCTCGAATATTATTGACTTGAATGATAAAATGTTAATTATAACCAGATAAGTATTATTTGTCAAGACTCTTGAAGAGCGCAATATTCGAATCACATTTTCGTTATTACTTATTTGGACAATCCTTACTCCTTACCAACTATGTGAGGAAATTAAGAAAACAGACTAAACGAAACTTGATATGATTCGGATTTCGGAGAAAGATAATATATCTTATATAATCCACAAATTATTCTTATTACTTAATTATGTGTATAACGAACCACCACTTGTTCGATCATGCATGCAGCAATATTAATTACATTAGTAATGTCTTATATATTAACGTAAATATATAATCACCTTTAGGATTTATGCAATTTAAAATAGAACAGGGAGAGATAAATTTGGCTATGCAATAACATTAAAATCCAAGGAGTGGTAAAGTAGTTCGAGAACTGACCTCCTCTTTTCTTATCCTCCCGTTGTGATTCTCTTTGAACATTATTGACGTGAATGATAAATCATCGTAATCTGCTTTGAAATGGTCAATATTCAAGAATCAATTTGTGAGTTTCAAATTTAATGATTATTTATTTGATCGTTTATTACTAGCTTCTTGTCACGCAAGGAGAAAAGGTTAGTTAATTATGAAATTTCAAATAACTTGCCTAAAGATATTTTATGTGAATATATATATATATATATATATATATATATATATATATTCTGTAAATTATTACTATTGCTTAACTATCCACCACTTATTCAAACAACAATATTAATTGCATTAGCAATGTCTTATATATTACGGAAAAGGGTCAGAAATCCCCTTAACGTATTAGAAATGGCTTAAAAATACTCTCCTTCCATCTATGAGTTCAAATTTATATTTAATGTAATTTTTAGGCTTAAAAATGCCCCTCTCTCAACGGAAAGATGATGTGGCATTGATGGACATTTTAATTAAACATGTAACATTTATTTAGTCCGGAAAAAAGTGAATTGTTTTTTACTAAAAACTTGAAAAAAATGAAAATATTTTTTTCCCAGTTTTTATAAAAAAAACTGCTTTAAAAAAAGCTGAAAAATATTTTCTAAAATAATATTTTTGTAAAAACTGAAAAAAAAAACTGAAAAGCAATTTTCTAAAGCAATGTTTTTGTAAAAGTTAAAACAAAATATCTCCTCTTCTTCTTCCTTCCTTGTTTGTCCATATGCTTTCTGAGTTCATTTTTATATATTTTAGTTCTTCTAATGAGTCAGTATATCAAAACTGAAATATTTTCGTTTTTTTCAGTTTTTAGTAAAAAAAAAATTCATTAGTCTCGAAAAATGTAGCATTTATTTAGTTAAACATGTATTATTTATTTAAAAATAGATTGGCTTTCTGAGTTCTCGAAAAATAGCATTTTAATTAAATATGTAGCATTTATTTAGTCTGGAAAAAAGTAATTTTTTTTTTTACTAAAAACTGAAAAAAACAAAAATATTTCAGTTTTGATGTACTAACTCATTAGAAGAACTAAAGTATATAAAAAATAAACTTAGAAAGTATATAGACAAACAAGGAAGGAAGAAGAAGAGGAAATATTTTTTTTTAGCTTTTACAAAAACATTACTTTAGAAAATTGCTTTTCAGTTTTTTTTTCAGTTTTTACAAAAATATTATTTTAGAAAATATTTTTTAGTTTTTTTTAAAGAATGTTTTTTGTAAAAACTGGAAAAAAAATATTTTTTTATTTTTTTCAGTTTTTAGTAAAAATAATTCACTTTTTTCAGACTAAATAAATGTTATATGTTTAATTAAAACGGAAAAGGGTCAGAAATGCCCTTAACGTATTAGAAATGGCTCAAAAATGTCTTCCTTTCAACTATGGGTTCAAATTTGCCCTTAATGTTAAAATGCCCATCAATGCAATATCATTTGTCCGTTAAGAGAGGGGCATTTTTAAGCCTAAAAATAACATTAAGGACAAATTTGAACTCATAGGTAAAATGAGGGCATTTTTTAGCCATTTCTAATACGTTAAGGACATTTCTATCCCTTTTCCGTATATATTATTATAAATATATAACCATCGTTAAGCATAGAATTGGATATTAAATAGTGAAAGATAAGAGTGACTATCAAGTAACACTAATAACGAAGGAGTTGTGAGGTAGCCTGAGAACGGACATCCTCTTTTCTTATCTTCTTACCACAATTTTCTTTGAACATTATTGACTTGAATGTTAAATCATTGTAGTATAACGTAATCTGCCGTGAAATGGTCAATATTCAAAAATTATTCCATGAGTTCGAACTTTAGTAACTACTATTGTTCTCTATTAATTACTTTAATTAAATTTAAAGTAACTCACTTAATGATATATATATTTCACATGTAATATATATAATTCACAGATCTTTTTATTGCTTAGTTATGGGTTTAACGAACCGCCACTTGTTCATACAATAACATTAATTGCATTAGTAAATAGTAATCCCTTTTATACTCTCTCTGTTTTAATTTATGTGAACGTATTTTCTTTTTGGTCCGTTCCAAAAAGAATGACCCATTTCTAAATTTGGTAATAACTTTTGCTTAAACTTACAATTCTACCCTTAATGAGAAGCTTTTATAACCATACAAATACTTTGGATCCCTTTTTGACTTGTTTAGGACTACAAATTATAAAAGTTTTTATTTTTTTTATATTCTATGCCCAGTCAAACAGGTTCGTAGGAACAGAGGGAGTAATTCTTAAAGGTGATTATCTCTCTTAGTAGTCTCTTTATTATCTCGAAAATTGTACAGTAAGAGATACTACTGGCTATGAAATCACACTAGTAACGAGGGGGTGGTGATGTGGTCCGAGAACAGACCTCCTCTTTTCTTATCTTCTATCGTAAATCACTTTAAATATTATTGACTTGAATGTTAAATTATTGTAATATGACATAATTTGCCTTGAAATATTCAATAATAAAAAATTACTTCATGAGTTCGAACTTTGGTAATTATTTATGTGGTCGTTTCCTACTAGCTTCTTGCCACACAAGGACAAAAAGTTAGTTAATGATGAAATTTAAAGTAACTCACTTAAAAATATTTCATGTGTAATATGTATAATCCACAAGTTATTTCTATTGCTTAATAATGGGTTTAACGAACCGTCATTTATTCATACAATATATATTAATTACAATGGTAGTGCCTTATATATCAACGTAAATATATAATCACCTTAAGAATTATAACTGAAAATAGAATATTGAGAGATAAGAATAGAACTGAAAATAGAATACTGAAAATGGAATGGTGAAGTAGTATATATGAAAACATGCCTCCTCTCTTCTTATCTTCTCGTCGTAATGACTTGAGTGCTAAACCATTAAACCTAACGTAATTTGTCTTGAAATAGTCAATATTAAAAAAATTACTTCGTGACTTCCGAACTTTGATAACTAATTATTTGGTGGTACTTAATAGCTTCCGCCCATACAAAGAGAAAAAAGTTACTGTACTTAATAAAATTTTAAATAAATCGCTGAAATATATTCCGCGTGTAATATGTATAACCATCACTTACTATTATTATCAATGCAATTAATGAACCATCACATATTTCGGACAACAATGTTAATTGCATTGAGAATCTCTAATAAATCAACCTAATCAAGTTTAATTAGGTAAAAACAAATTAGTACATACTTAATGGAGTAATAAAAATCTCGATTTTGACATTTTTTGCCAGGGTGCTAGGTGGCCCCACCTACCCACGGACTTCCCACCCCAAATCTCCATCGTAAAAGCCTCCATAGACGCCTTCTAAATAAATAAATACCAAACGAAAACCTCTCCTCCAAACCCCAAAATCTCTCTCTCTCTCTCTCTCTAACGCCTTGTTTGTTTGTGCTAATTTTCATCTCCTTCTAGAAAACCCCGAAAATCTTCAACCGAAATATAGGCCGACACGTACTGAGAGCTATACGATTATTGTTAGCACTCATTTAGACTATTCAAACAGCCTAGAATTTCAACTGGCCCAAAGAATTTAGAATCTTTAATTTCACCTGATTGATCCTTTTGGGTTAAATTTTCATACTGCCTGTTTCAATATGCCGCCGGCAGCCGGCGTTGTTGCGAATTCCGATCGAGTTCACTTTATGCCTACAGCTGGTGGTGCTCCAGTGGTCCAACCACCTCCCATGATGTCTGAGACATTTGCTAAGGATGCCATTTTAGCGTGGTTCAGGGGCGAGTTTGCCGCTGCGAATGCGATTATTGATGCGCTCTGTAACCATATTACTCAGCTGGAAGGCGGCCGATCGGAATACGAATCTGTTTTCGCCGCCATACATCGCCGGAGACTGAATTGGATTCCAATTCTTCAGATGCAGAAGTATTATTCCATTGCTGATGTCACGCTTGAGCTCAAAAAAGTCGCCGCTAGAAAGGTGACGGACGTGGAACAGAGTGATGTAAAAGAAGAAGAAAAGGAGAGTGAAGTGAAAGAATTGCTTAATGAAAAGGCTAAATGTCATGACGAAGAGTCGTTTGAGAACTCCGAAAATGGAGGCGGTGAGGTGGTAGATGAAGATTCAATCAGAGAGGATTCAAATGGATCGCCGGAAAGTGAGATCACGGATACAGGTAAGTATTTTTTTTAATGAAAAGATTTACTATTATATTATTTGTTTTAAATATTTTGGTCATTTAATTCAGGTGCATAAAATAATTGGAAGGTGTTTCAATAATCGGAATTAAAATATAGAGAATATTCCTTCATTTCCAAATCTTGTACTATGTCATTTTTGCTCTGTTTTCTAAATATCTCTTAGAATTTAGAATTGAGCGGCGGTCCGGAATTCTGTGACTCTGTTTATCTCCTTGAAAGAGACTTGTGTGTGCTTTCAAGAGTTTTAATGCTTAATTATCTAGAAATTCATCTTAAGTCCAAAAAAGAATGCTATTACTATTATTGGGAAAGTCAAAGTTTCATTATGGCTTTTTCAGAACGTGTTTTAAAAGTTTGTTATTAGAAAAGATTTTGATTTTGTTGTATCTTTTATGTTGTTTCTAAAAAGGTAAACTTTATTTCAAAAAAATTAAGAAATCTGACTTCAAACAGAAAATTATTAAATGTGTTGATCCTTTCACTTTCAATCTGACTATTGTTTTTGGGATGAATGATCTCAATCTAACTCTAGAATTTGAAATGATGAAATTTCTCTTTTTTTTTATTTGGTTAAATTTACAAAAAACGCTCATTTCTTTATTCTCATTACTCGAACTCGAAACTCTTAATTAGAACTAAAAGAATATTACCTATCCCGCCACGTTCCTTAGTGACAAGAAAATTTCTCTATATTTCTCTTTTTGTTTCCATAAAAGGTTGAAAAATTCTTTGAATTTTATTTTTTCGAAAAAAAAGATCCAATTGAACACCAAAGAGGGAATATTCTTTCTATCCCCCGAGCACTCAATGGAAGAAGAAAAATCAAAGTCAAGCAGTAGGAAATCTAATCCTTGCTCCCGCGTTCAGTCCTTTTCAGCTTGTGGAAAAATTGAAACGTGACATGGGAGAAATTTCAGTTTTCAATTTTTTTTTTACTTTTTTCGGGATCGGTTTTTGTCAATGAATTTCAAATTTCACGTGAAGTTGAATTTTAGAATATTTTGGAAATTTTCTAACTCCAAAAACCTGCTTTCAAAAAAAAATCACTCAAAAAAATTCAAAAACTGTTTCATATTTATTTATGTCCGACACAACTCTAATTTTCAGATACTATTTTTACTTGAATTTTACTTTATTTTAAAACTTTTTTCTGATATTTTACAATTCTTATGTCCAAACGCCCACTAAAATTTTCCTCACACTATTCGATCCAAAATCACATTGTTTTGGTGTATTGAATTCAAAGTGAAAGTTCTCATCCTTCTCGACTTACTTTACTGTGAAAAAGAAGACAGTTTTGTTAAAGTAAAACTGGCAAAATCACCCGAAATCTCCAGATTTTCAGCTTTACAATGCCAATTCCAATCGCTCTCGAATTGGAAATGAAAATGATTAGTTAAATGCTGTTGACTTCCCAAGGTTTTGATGGGAAAAAGGTTTGAAAGAAGAAAAAGCTTGTTGTAATGTTAGGTGTTGGGTGCAGCAGAATCAGAATTCAGAACCACAGTGAGTTGCGGTGTATGAAACACGCTTATGCTAGTTACTAGTTAGTTGGATGCCTCGATGTGGGTATCATTGGCTCATTTAATTCTTTTTTTGCTTTATTTAGTAGGTGGTCTCAAACGTATGATGTTTTGACCAACGTCATGGCTCTGTCTCGTTGGCTTCATCTTAGCTAAGGTTTGGCTAGTTTTAGGTGTAGTTATTAAAAAAATTAATTTGACTAGACACTAAATTTAAGAAGTAAGAGAATCATATTTTTAGAAATAAAATTGAATATAATTAAATTATTTCTATATATGAAAACTTTCTTAAAATAAAAATTAATGTAATAATAATACACATTCATACTAGATAATTTAAAACACAATTAATTTAATATAGTATAAAATGAAATGGCGAGTACTGATGTAAATCGTTAAGACTATGGCGAGTTCACCCCGTTGTCCTGGGTGGCTGGTTCACTTTTTGTGTGATCCAATAATTTTGGGGCATTGGGCCAAGCGGACTTGTAATAGTAATTCCGTATTCATTTGGTAGCTTTTATAGTGTGGGCCCACCCATCGCTATTTCTCTTTCCTCCCCATATGTTAGTGCAGGCTGCTTTCCTTTTTTGTCGCAATGCTTTGGTGGAATGTTTATTTTTTGGACTTAAATTATACACATTCTAAGTATTACTACTATATAAGAATTTTTTACTGGTAATATGCTTGTTATGCTTACCTATGATAGCTTTTAAATTACTTAATAGCATAATACATTTTTAGTGTATAGATATTTAAAAATATTTCATTTAAACTATTATCCCAATTATATAAAGAATATTTTTTTTTATCCTCCCCTTTGATCCCTTGTTGAAGTTACTGCTCCTTTTGATGACTCGAACCCACAACCCTAGGGTTGTAGTTGGAGGGTGCTGACCCGAACAACACTTTTTTGTCTTGTAAAGAATATTTATACTAGCAATGTAGTTTAACCAATTTCAGGTTATCCATCTAGTCTCTATAAAAAAAATTAGCTGTAATCACTTTTAAAAACTTTACCCTATTTTTGGGGGGCTTATCAATGGTGGTTATGTGAAGAATAATGGAATTGGACTCCATAAGTACCACTCGTTTGGTATCATTATGTGGGGACTAGTTCATTTTGCCCCATTCTTTTACAATGACTTCTCTTCAGAATGTTATGGTGTCATTTCCATCAACTATAATGTGGTCAACTAGAAACATTCTGTGCCATTGTCCTTTTTTTTCCTGTTTGGCAAGGGCCGTACTTTTGTCTGTTAGCTAAATTAGCCAGAAACTAACACTTAACACCACTGTGAATATTGTGTCTGCAAAACAACTGTTGTTGTCTCATAACCAAAGTAACATGGTCATGTCAATGGTATAACATTACGGGGGTTTTAACATCAAATTATATTAATTTATTAAGGTTAAATGATTTAATGGGGTAAAAATATGCAATAATTAACCTATTTAGTGAAAATTTTCGAGAGTATGCACATACTTAAATGCTTTCTTTCATTTTATAGGATCCCAAGAAGTACAGGATTCTGTGGAACTTTGCTCAAACCATGAAAATTGTGAGACAAGGCATGACCAGATCAAGATGACTAAGGGGTTTGTATCAAAGGAACCAGTCAAAGGACATATGGTAAGTCCTCCATTTCCTAGATATTTTACATCCAAAGCTTTCACATATTAAACCTATTGTTGATCCACATTTCCATATATTGCGATTTCAGGTGAATGTTGTAAGAGGTCTGAAGTTATTCGAAGACATATTTACTCCGAATGAACTCTCTAAGTTAGATGACCTTGTGAATGAACTTCGAGTTGCTGGTCAAAATGGTGAACTCTCAGGTGGATCCTGTGATTCGTGACGCTTTTATAGTTATTGTTGTTTCCTTTTTGGGGCGAAGTTATGAGATAGTAAAGGACACCTTCTGTAGGTTGGCTGGAGCAGGTTTGGCGATTCGTTTTTCTTTTTGACTAATTGCAGCTGTCTTAAATTACTATAATAGGCCTTTCTTAAAAAAGGTTTAACTAATATACACTAACATTACACTGTCTTGCCTAAAAGATAACTACATCTAATTGTCCATAATAAGTGGAGTTTGTGACTTTTTTATAATCCTGGCAAGTTTTGCGACGCCTGCAATGTCATTAATCTGATTTACAAGTACTTCATCAATGTGTGATCTTGGATATTTCCTGATTTATGTGTGATCGTGTTTCAGGTGAAACTTTTATTTTGTACAACCAGCAGGTGAAGGGCAGCAAAAGAGAGCTGATTCAACTCGGTGCACCAATTTTTGGGCATGTAAAAGAGGATACCACATATCAAAAGAGTAAGAAAAGCTGTGTCTTAAAACCTATCTATCTGTTGTTACTATATTGTTGTTGTATACGATTTGACCCCAATTCTCAACTTTAATGTTCAAGTCTAATTTCTACTATATTTGTCATAATTTGGAAATATCAACTTTCAGGTAACAATGAGCCCATTCCAGCTCTTCTGGAAGGTGTCATAGACCACCTGATTCAGTGGCATCTAATATCAGAGAGTAGAAGACCTAACAGCTGCATTATCAACTTCTTTGATGAGGTATATGATCTTATTTTAGATTGCCTGCTGTATTTTCAGCAATATAAAAACGAAGCCTAAATGCTTTTGTGCTGCTTATTTAGGGGGAGTATTCGCAGCCTTTCCTGAAACCACCTCACTTGGAACAGCCAGTCTCCACCCTTCTCCTGGCTGAATCAATGATGGCATTTGGGCGAAGTCTTGTGAGCGATAGTGAAGGGAACTACAAAGGATCGCTCATGCTTTCTCTTAAAGAGGGGTATGTACTTCATTTATTTGAGGGTTTTTACTCAGATGAAGTTTGATTTGCCCATCTTTAAGCTTTTGCATGTTGCTTGAGGAAAATGCTGATAGGGATTCCAATCTGTTAACGAGCTTCTTTTGATAGGAACTTGCACTTGTTTTTCCCCCTTTTTTTCCCCCAAAATGACTATTCTTACTTATGGTTGGTTTTCTCCCATTTGTTCAACATTTTGGCAGGTCTCTTTTGGTCATGAGGGGGAATAGTGCTGATATGGCCAGGCATGCCATGTGCTCATCTCCTAACAAAAGAGTTACAATTACATTCTTTAAAGTCAGAACAGAGATTGGAAACAATTTTCCAGAAGTTGCTCCTCTGACTAGAGCCATGACCTTATGGCAACCTGGTGTTCCAACACAATATGCAACTGCAAATGGAGTTCACAATGGTTATGAGCCAATGGATGTGATCCCCAAATGGGGTGTCCTTCGAGCTCCGATGGTTATGCTAGCACCAGTGGCGCGTCCACTAGTTATGAGCCCCCGAAAGGCTCCTCGTGGTGGTACTGGTGTATTTTTGCCATGGAATGGTGGATCCAGAAAACCTGCAAAGCATCTTCCGCCGCGTGCTCAAAGAGGACGGTTCCTTGCACTGCCTACCCCTAGTGACTCACCTAAATCAGAGACCACTTCAGAACCAAGTTTGGATCTTGATGGGAAATCACCATAGATTCTCCAGTTTGAAGTCTTTAAACACCCTTTGTAGCTGAAGGGGCTTTCTCCTACTGTGTACAATGAGTGAGAATGAATTTGCTTTCTTTTTTCTTATGGTTTTCACAAGGATTTTCCTTCTTTTTTAAGGTAGACATTAGGCGTTGGCTGCTATACCTGTCCACCTATGCCAGCCATGGTAGGCTTTAGAGATAACTACTAGCTTAGGTAAATGGAGTGTGTATTAGCCAAGCAACAGGCTGAATTTTGTATTTAAGGTTTTGTTTTCAACATCCATCTCTCTAAGATCAGTAGGGGATCATTTTAGGTAAATTACACATAGTTTTTGTGCTTCCTGAACTGGAATTCATCTTCATTGACTGGTTCATCCTTAACATGCTAACATGCTCAGAACTCCTCAATAAAGGGGGTTTTCAGCAAATGCCAGAGGAAATTTGGTTTTAGACTTCATCTCAAGTCCAGTAGACATTACTTTGCGACTGGAAGTGGAGCTAACCAACATACAGTGAGATCAAAATATGATAGTCGATTATTATTACTTTCCTATAGCTAAAAGTTAATGATGTTCTTTTATCTAATCGCACGTTCAACATTGCAAGATGTAAAGAGGTTGCCTTAGGTGTACATGTGGACTGGTGGAGTGTTTTTTAACCCAAGTAAATCAAGTGACAGATGTGACTTCTTAAATTTTGTAAACTAGCAGGAAATAAGGACCCTTGCTTTAAAGTCTTTCGTGCAAGGAATAATGATTGGGTCTCAGACTGCCAAACGAACTGTTGACAAATAGACACCACCTCCAGAAACATTCCATCAGTACTATTCAGTGCACTACTTGATACTAGCCATACATGCAATGATAATTTACATGTCTCTTATCATTTTTTATCAGCTGTGTTTTAATTAAGTTTTGTATTTAATTTTAAAAAGATAAGAAGAGTAAGGAAACACAGAAGCATAACAAAGTGTTCCTGCAAACAGTTCCTGACCATTGGACACTAATCAATTTTTTGAGAATGAGATTTATGAAATTTGGATTGACCCAAATTCTTCAGACGCAGATACTGGCTTCTTTCAATCTATTTCCAATATGAGACAAAAACATTGATTCTTGGGGGCGAAGTTTCTTCCTAGATTGCAAGGCAATGAAAGTTTTTGGAATGGCTCTGAAGCAGGTCTAGAAAAATCATTTGGAGAATTCTTATAGATGGTGTGCGGAATTAGATACAACGCTTAAACTGTTGGGGGATTTTTTTGCCCTCTGGTCCATTTCTTTGTGAACATGGCTACATCATTTACTTCATTGAATAGGAAACGTAACTGGAGATGAGCCCCTCCAATGAATAGACCAGTCAGTGCCAAACAAACCCTTTGTCTATGACTGGGCGTTCGGGCAGTTCGGAGTAAATATAAAATTTTGGTATGTATATTCGGTTTTCGGATTAAATAAATGGCAATCCAAATCCAATCCAAATAAGCTCTGATTGGATCGGATTCTTTAAGTTCGATTTTGGATTAATCGGTTTGAATATTTTGAATATTCGGTTTTGACCCTATAAGTTTAAATGCTTCTTCTTCTTACAGAAATAAACATCCAAATAAAGTATTCATGTTAAATTACCTAAAAAGTTTTTCATTCTCACTGCAGTCACCCAAATAAAGTATTCAAGTAATGAAATCATTATCAAGAAAATACAACAAAGACATTAATAAGGCCGATAAGAAGTAGCAATAATAAGACGATGTCCAAATAAAAGTATTCTAACGGTAACTTAGTAATTAGTATTGAATATATGATATAAAGTCTAATGAGTAGAGTATTGAACTTATTACTATTGGCATATAGATAATGTATTAAATATAAAGTATAAAAAATTAATCCAATATACAATCCGAAACTCAAAAAATTTAAAAATTAAATCCGAAATCCAATCTGTAATCCAAAAATTCAATAAATTCGAATTTAGATTTGGATTTCGGGTTTGCCCAAACTATGCCCGCCCCTACTTTTGATAAATCGATGTAGCCGCAGACCATATAAGAGAATAAACAACAAATAACTTGAATATGCTTATCCTTAATGACAGTCTTCAAAGGAGGGATGCTGGGTTGAGGGGGCCCTAAAATTCATCAGCTACGTACAGGTGACCCTTTCGTACTTGCTCATTCTATACTAGAAGTAGAAATAGCAGCAGTAGAAAGAACTCCAGGTTATTCAGCTTATCAAGTTACAGGAGTTTCGCTCTCATGAAATACGATTAGGATCCTTTATTTAGTTGCAACAACCACTTAAACCACTGATGCCAATTAAGAAAGAAAAAAAAAAGAAGGGGGGGGGGGTATAAGGTACCCCAATATTTCCATGGTATGGCGAGCTGTGCAGCAAATGGACTCCCTGCAGCTAAAGTATTTTCTCTGAGTTTAAAAACAATGACATTAGTGGATTAGGAAATTCTGTGTAGAAATAGGGAGGTGAGAACATGGAAGGTACAGTTCCCTTTTGTATCTAGTTTCTATTCATCTGTCCACCTTCTTTTACCTTTCTTCGGTTCGAGGAGACTTATTATGAATACAAATAATACCACAAATGGAAGCACATTTACAAGGTCTAAACGGATGGCTCTTGTTCAAAAGCATAACTGCAGAAGCGCATAAGAGACTGAGAAATAGAGGTGACCACAAGAAAATTTGGCCCCTATATTTTCACATGAATGTTACCATGATACACAACACTGATTACTTCAAAAACATTTGACCTAATGTAAAGGCGGAGAAATTTTTTATACCATCCTCCCAATTAGTGGTTTAAGACATCTTTATTTTTTTAAATGACCAGGAACTCCGTCTTGGGCTAACCCTTAGGACCAACAACAACCTTCAAAACTCGGGGATAATGCGCCCGCCTCTCTACCTTAAACCACTTCAATGCCAGGCTTAGTTCGCATGGCTCAGGACTTGGGACCGAAGTCACATGTCCCCCAACCTTTTCCACTTGAACTAAAGCCCTGAGGGCAGATGACATCTTATTCTTATGTTTCATAGAAATGGCTACCTGAAAGACACAGATAAGCTTTATCCAACTGAAGACTCTCTGCAGATTTGCCTTATTTTAATGTGCTCATGCTTATATAAGTGACTGAACTGGTTGACCAAAGATAATTAAAAGTGACGCGAGTATATGACCACCTGAGGAAGTGCTAACAAAACATTTGGTTTGAGCAAGGAAATTGTAGAATACAGAGAAGCTCAACTGACAGTTGACTCATGAAGAGGGAGGTGAGAACATGAAGGGGAGCAGTCAGCGTTTATCTAATGGCAATCTGCTTCCTTTCCCAAGACGTATATCTCATTGCAAGCATTTTCCTTATTTGATAAAGTAATAAATTTTACGGATTAATCTTTGGCAAAACCAACATCAGTACCGAAAAAAAGTACAAAACCAACAAAAAGAGATCATTTTCTGCGAAAGACATTCAATCTTCTATATATATCACATCGCAAGCATTCACTACATCATTCAAAAGAACTGAACACACTTCACCAGGGAGTTTATAAATGCATTAGAATAATAGGATAGCACTTTGTCTATGAACGTCATTGCTTTCATTCAAATTTCCCAAGTATACAAGGTGCAGAAAGACATGTTCACTTTTTATAAATGAACAGCTGGACATAACAAACTTGACTATTAAACTAAAACTTCAATATAAAGAATGAAAATCATGAATCATGATTAAACAAACTGCATGATACGAAGAACATTATCTTACTTTTACTAGGTATCAAGCGTTAACGTTCAACTCTTGAGTTATGTTGCATACTGACAACTTTGGCATCCGGCTTCCTGCATATCTTAACTTTGTCTCAGAATCAAGCTTTCACAGGCTAATCATCATCTTCAATGTCCCAACTCAAATCCTCATCATCCTCTTCAACACTAAGCCTCTTCCTCAGATCAGCTCTATTGGAACTTGCAGCATGAGAAGTTGCCTTTTTGTCGTCATTACCCTCAATGTCCTCAATCTCAGCCCAATCCAAGTCCTCCTCATCAGCCCCCGTCTTGTGACTTGACACTATAGAGACATCACCACCTTTACCAGATTCATCCTTATCACCTTTCCCCTCTGAACCTATTGCCGCCCTCTCCTCCTTTTTATCCAGAGAAGTAACTTCAGGGTCTTCTTTCTTACTATCTTCGCTATTCCCCTCCTCCTTACTCAAAGAAGTAACTTCAGAGTCCTCTTTCTTACTATCTTCGCTATTCCCCTCCTCCTTACTCAAAGAAGTAACTTCAGAGTCCTCTTTCTTACTATCTTCGCTATTCCCCTCCTCCTTACTCAAAGAAGTAACTTCAGAGTCCTCTTTCTTACTATCTTCGCTATTCCCCTCCTCCTTACTCAAAGAAGTAACTTCAGAGTCCTCTTTCTTACTATCTTCGCTATTCCCACTCGATTCTACGACATGGCTCTTGCCAGCACCATCTGCATTAGACTGATTCTCTTCTTTCCTACCAACAGTAGCTGAACTTAAAGTTTTTGATTCATCACTATGAGCGGCCTGTTTAACAACATTGGTTGAATCCTCTTTGCTTGGTTCACTTTTATCCGGAGACACTTCCTTTGCAACATTAGCCGAGTCCTTATTAGCAGATTCATTCTCAGCCGAAGCCAATTTCTTTACATCATCAACGGAGCTTTCAATAACAGATGAACCCTCTTTTCTCTGCTCATCAACTTTCGATTTGGCATTGCTCTCTTGTTCATTATCATCATCATCATCAACATCCCAAGACAATTCTTCATCATCATCATCTATAGATATTGCTCTCTTCACAAGCTTAGCTCTAACACTCTCTTGCTGCTCAAGCTTGTACACTCTATAAAAATAACGATACCAAAACGTCTCATGATCAACTTCATTAGGCACAACCCTTTTGTAGATACCTTCTAAAGATCCAATTTTTCCAATCAAGTTCTCAACTTCCTCATTTTTCTCCTTCAAATCAAAACTTAATTTCCACTTCTTGTACTCCTCTAAATCCTCGGGCTCCAAACAGAATGTGTTTGGGTCATTTTGGATATTAATCAATTGAGATTCGAACCGACTGTACCGGGTCGAGTTCAAGACCCGATTTTGATCAGGGGTTTCGGGTTCAACATCATCAGAGGATGCTAAAAGGGAATCTTTACCTTGTGAAATAATCTCAGCCGTAGATTTGATGACGCCGTCAATAACCTCGATAGAATTAGGAAGATCCTTAACGGCCCGACTAGCTACTTCACGGAACAATTCGGTTTCTTTTTTCAACCCGGATCCGAATTCCTGTAGATCCTTGCGGTACGTCTCGAGCACTGATTCGGATCGAGTTGACAACGTCTTGAACAGACCTCCGAAGCTCCAAACACTGCCGTCACTACCGTCGGCAGCTGAATCGGGTGTGTGATCCGGGTCAACGTCGACGTCATTGTCAGGGGTTTTGTGTGATTGTTCAGGTGTAGATTCTTGGGGCTTTTTGGGTATTGGGGGGTCCGGATACGGATCGTCAGATAATATAGATTTGAAGAAATTCATAGCTCAGTGAATCAATTTGGAGGGAAGAGTTTCAGTGGTGGTGATATTCACTTTGCTTTTTCTTTCCTTTCAGTCGAAGTGTTAATTTTTTTAGATGATGTTTTCTCGCCAGTTGGCAGTTCCCAACTCTCTGACGAAACTTCATTGCCGGGCCTACTTTGCTTTGGACTTGCTCTTTGTGGTTTACTGGACTACTTCTTATATTATTGGGCCTGAATAACTTAAAGAAGAATGAGATTTTTGAAAGATTTGCAGTCGTAACCTATATTTGTGCCACCTTTTAACTTGTACCCTATTTTTAAAAATTATTGACTTGATAGCCAGCTGACAAAAAATTTGTAATAATATGACAATTACACCTCTGACAAAAGATATAAAATCTACATCACGCATTAATCGCGTGATCTGCAACCTCATTCTTGAAAAAATATCTCCTCCTCTCCTCTCAGCAGCTTTATCAAAAAATCAGAAACTTGTCCAGATTCATCTTCAGAATCACACTTGCATGAAATTGTTTCACCTTGAAGCTAAAGCTCCATACTAATGTAGCATGAAGTTGTTTCATGTTGAAACTAAAACTTCATGCTAATAATGCATGAAGTTGTTTCACATTGAAGCTAAAACTTCATACTAATGTATGCTGAAGTTATTTATCCTGCAGTCGACAGTTTTGTCATGAGTTTTATCTGAAACTTCAGTCTGAACATGCTGAAGTTATTTAGTTCATTTGTTAAAACTTCAGACTAAATATGCTTAAGTTATTTAGTTCATTTGCTAAAACTTTGGACTAAACATGCTTAAGTTTTTCAGTTCATTTGCTAAAACTTCATACTAAACATGCTTAAATTTTTGTCTTGCAGTATGTAATTTTCTAATGAGTTTTTGCTAATGCATATTGAAGTTATTTAGTTGAGACTAAACATGCTTAAGTTTTTTAGTTCATTTGCTAAAAACAGATTAAACATGCTTAAGTTTTTTAGTTCATTTGCTAAAACTTCAGACTAAACATGCTTAAGTTTTTTAGTTAATTTGCTAAAATTTTCGACTAAATATGCTTAAGTTTTTTAGTTCATTTACTAAAATTTCAGACTAAACATGCTTAAGTTTTTGTCTTGCAGTATGTAATTTTCTAATGAGTTTATGCTAATTAATGCTGAAGTTTTGTCATGCAGTCTACAGTTTTGTCATGAGTTTTATCCGAAACTTCAGTCTAAACAAGCTGAAGTTTTTTAGTTCATTTGCTAAAATGTCAGACTAAACATGCTTAAGTTTTTGTCTTGCAATATGTAATTTTCTAATTAGTTTTTTCTAATGCATGCTGAAGTTATTTAGTTCATTTGCTAAAATGTCAGACTAAACATGCTTAAGTTTTTGTCTTGCAATATGTAATTTTCTAATTAGTTTTTTCTAATGCATGCTGAAGTTATTTAGTTCATTTGCTAAAATTTCATACCAAAATATGATGAAGTTTTGCCCTGCAATCTACAGTTTTGTCAGTAGTCTTTTAATAAAGAAGGGCAAAATCATCTTTTTAAAATACTTTTAACAAAAAAAATGGGTACAGATACAAACGGAAAAACAAAACGGGTATAAGTTAAAAAGGGGCGACCAAATAGGGCGCCCCATGAAATTTTTACGGGTTGTTTTCATTCTTATACAATATTTGAAACTTATTTACAAAAATTATTCTAATTTTGTATATTACCCTTCCTAAATAAGCATTACTTACAAATTATATACATTCCACCTTAAAAGACTCCTAATCCATTATTAGTGCCTTCAATCAAGGGATTTAGTTATACCATTTTCTTTCTTTCTCTCCACTCTTCCCTCTTCTCTCCATATCGAACTTATATTTAGGGATTTTTATTTGATAATTATTTCAAAATACATTCGTCAAATCAATGAGATACTGCTGAAGTTGTCATCTTTCTTTTTTGGGGTCTTTTTTTTCTCTTTATTTTGCTGTGAATTTAATAATGGAATACGATTTTTGACGAGATTTATGCTGGCTACTTGCCATAAAACCTTTTGTTTATTTTGTGAAGGACTCGGTCAAGTGGTAGGGCATCAGATTAATATGGTTAAAAATGAAAGAACACATCTGAAGAAATGGCCAGCGACTAGCTAGAAAACTCGAAACTTGTGTTGAAGTTCTGTTCTTGAGCAAACATTTATGCTATAGCTAGTGTATTTTAAAGACTAAAATTTTTGGACAACCAGGAGAAGGTAATGTCTCCAAAAGCAGGCGATAAAAACCTACATCGAATGTTGTAGCTGGACAAAATTTAGTATCTACTCTGACTTCAGAGAAGATAAAATCAACTGAGAAAAGAACAATATATGGTACATCAACATACAAATTAAAAATAAATTTGATGCAAGTTTGAATATCTACAACAACATACGTAGTGAAAACAAATTTCATACAATGTATCTACAACTTTCATATATTATTTTTACCCAGTTAAATATAACTACAATATCATACAACTTAAATATAATTTTTATATAAATTTTATATAATATGTCTTTTGTATATATTTTGTATCTAATTTGTATATATTTTGTTTGTCGTGTGTGCTTCTTCCTCTCTAAAATTGCAATCAAAACTTACTCTACTAATATAATTTTAATACAAATCAACAACTTTATATAAAAAGATAGTATTGATAACTTAAATACAAATTTTATACAACAATTCATACATTATACAACTATTTTTCAATTTTCATACAACATTCAAATTAAAAAAAATATATAACTACAACAAAATACAATTTACAAACAGTTATAATACAACTTTACTACAATTTTGTAAGTATATTGTATGTCATGTGTTCTTCTTCTTCTTTGAGTTTCAATTTAAAATTCAGCCAAAATCAAGTCTAATCTTCACCAAAACACCCTCAAAATTGAGATATAAACTCCAAACAATATTCTCAATTATTTGCAACAACGCCCAATCCAAACAAATAATGGTTTTTGAAAATCCAAATTCGATTTCAAAGCTTTTTAATGGCTGTCAATGATGGAGAGTCAAACACCTTCAAAATTTATTGATTGGCAATTTCAATTTGAACACCAAAGGAAATTGCTAAGTTAAAACGATTGAAATCCATTAATGAATTTCATTAAAACTCTATACAATAAGAAAGCGTAAAAAAAAAACAGAGAACATCAAATGAAAAAAATTTGGGAAAAAAACAGAGAAGGAGAGTAGAGAGAGACAGAGACAGAGAGAGTGGGCAAGTATAAAGAGATAAGGAAATAAATGATATTCCTCATTCAATTTCTAATATAAAGGGACACTTATTTAAACCTTATTTGTATATAATTGGTAAATTATATATGACCATGTAATTAAATTGAAACTTGAGTAGGGAGGGTAATAATGTTTCAAATAGTGTATAGGAAGGTAAAAATCCCAAGAAGAATTAACCTAAATAGCACACACCTAACCTTCAAAAATAATCGACAGATGTATAATATTTATATAATTTATATATAGAATATATGTATAATCTATGTATATCAGCTACAAAAAATAAATAATAAATTTGAGCGGCTATTTATGTAAAGATCCCCAACTTAAAGACAAATTTTTGTGGGCCATAAACAAGGTAGGATTTGCACAAGGTAACTGCTTGTAGCACTCATATTTAAAACATATTTGATGTTTAAAAGCTTTTAAAGTTTAACTAATTTGGCAAACTTCATAGTGAACCTCATGTTGCTGCCTCTTAGGTTCGCATTTGAAGTTGGGCTCTATTAAAAGCTTAACTTCATACCCGAAAGTAAGTCCGAAGTTTTGTAAAGACAAATTTCAAATTTAGACCTACTGTCAAAGCCTAACTCAGCCACGTACATCTGAAGTTTGAAAAGATTAGACTCTCCATTCTCAACTTTAGTTCCGCAAGTCTAAATTGGATTATGAGGCGATTAAATTTTAAAAAATTTATCAATTTAGGCTATTTTTAAATAGGAGTTTCCAAACGGCTATTTGTGCACTTTGTCTGTCAAACAAATAGACACAAAGACCACTAATTTTTATTTTATTTTAGGGTGGATTGTCCGAAGATAATGTCACTTTAAATTATTATTTTAACTTTTATCATTTGACTCTATTTTATTTTAGTATGCTCCAGTCTTCTTCATCTGGTCGCATTACATCAATATGGATCCAATCTGTTGGGTGTACATTCATAGATGGACAAAATTACTTCTTACTCTTATTTTTATGTAAAAGAACTAATAGGTTGAGTAGCTTTTGCTAGCTCTTTTTCCATTTGGATCTTTTATCCTCTTAATTTTTTAGAGTATCCTGACAATTATATAGTATGTGCTAATCCGGATATTGACAAATATAATACTATTTACTCTATAGGTTACTCAAGGCAACTATGGGTGTGCAATAAGGATGTGCTAACTTGAAAAAATAGTAAGAAATAAAAAAAAAGCTCGTTTTTTTTTTGTGGGGTGGGGGGACTTCTTTTTTCCTTATTGAGAAGAGATTCAAACTTGTAAGCTTGTAGTTCAAATATTAGCTACTGAATACTTAATTTTATGGTTAAGATAATGGGGAGGAAACATGGGAGCATTGGATGATTAAACAGGCAAATAAACGGTATAGATTCAAGATTCTAAGGTGTACATGATTGGAAGGAACCTACAAATAGAACACAAGGATGTGTCGGGAAGAAAAAATGTGGGAAAAGAATGTAAAATGACATTTATGATTTAACAGACACATTTACCTTTTGCGGATTGGAATATAATTATGCTTGGGAAAAGGGGTTTTTGCCTTTTGATTATAGTAGCATCATATGAAAAATAAGCCAATGATAACATATCATATAACCGGGCTCGGGATGAATGAGTAATCGGGTTTTGGTCCGAATCTCGAGTTTTGACCAAGCGAGCACGCGGTTGACTTTTGTGACTTTTTAAAAAATGATCAAATTTGAACCTCTTTTATTTATGGGTAGTTTCTAATTCTTATTTTGAATCATTTGATCAATAATTTGCTAGATTTGATTGGTTTGGAGGCTTGTTCAAAAGGATATAATTCAAGTTTTATTTATTGACAGTATAAATAATATTTACAACAATCATATCATTCATTCATAAGATAATTACAAATACATCTTCTGTATAACCTTCTATCACGTGTTAAATTATATTGATAATATAAAAAGGATATATAGCGGATAGGACAGAATGCTTTAGGGTAGAAAGAGCAAAGAATCACACTACAAAAAAAGTGTGGTAATGTTGCCCGGCTTAGTAAGAATAGAATCATTTTCTTTTTATCCTTTTGGTTCATCTTATAGATGTGTAGACACAACTACTACTTCTACAACAGAAAGTCTATCAATCAATGGAAAAAGGAGGCAACATTCAGAATTCTCAATCACCAAACATATGTAATCGCGTCTTCAACTTCATCATCAACACAATTTGGGTAACTATGGGTAATAATCATCCAACAGTATTTTATAATCAATCTACAAATCAAGTCCCTATTGAATCGCCAACTGGTTTAAGTGGTGATATAGAGATTGAGTTCAGGCATTTGGAGATAGTTGGTCGAAACAACAAAGAGAAAGGAACAAAGAAGTTTGTGAGCATCAAAGAAATAGCTCAAGAAAGAACTGAAACTAAGCAAATTCCTGCTGCTGTTAATGTTGCAGCAAGAAGGAGGCCTTCTCTAAATGTGATTTCCAACATTAATGAGAAGACAGAAGCCTTTATAAATAGTAAGAAGGAAGCTTTACGCAGGTCTTACACCGAACCCGATAAGAAAGCTTAGTTTCATATCAAACAGAACTTTTGGTTTCTTGATTTTGCCTAATTATGCTCTTAATCAACTACATACTAGCTGTGTTATGCATAACCGCTATACTTAAAGATGTCAACCAATGATTTTTATTTCTCGCTTATAGTTGTCTTCTACTTCTCGTTAGAAAAAAGTCAGATTCATGATTTAAATTTAATGGGTTCTGCATTTAAGGTTGAACCCGTTGCACTTTTGTAATTAAGCTTCATAATTTAACTTAGTGGTTTTTCTCTATATATCTATGCTTCTTGCAGAAAATGGTGGATTCAGTTGAATCCATTGATGAACACTCAAACACTGTTCCTAGCTATTTGTGATTTCAATAACATTTGTTTTAGTATGCACAAAAAGGAGCATCCTAGGGTCTATTAGAAATAACCTTCCCAGGAGCCACTTATGGAATTATACTGGGTTTGTTGTTGTTGTTGTATACGCAAAAAGGAGCAACCGGGGTAATTTGGGTTTCACTTTCAGTTATGACCAATACCTGTCGAAATCTGGAAAATGTTTTCCAAGAACTTTTTTTTTTTTTTTCCCTCATGTTCCTAGTGGTAATTTGTAAACATATTCTTGCATTAAGCACCATCCAAAATTAGCCGAACAAGTAAATTTAACTTTGTGGGAGAAAAAAGAAGGTGGTAACCAAATATGAAACAGAGTATAATAACACTAAAAATATTATGAGATAACAAAAGAACATGGTACTTGGCAGCAGACTTGTACTAATTTAGTTGTAAGATGAAATAATCAAATTATGAAACAATAAAGCTAATCATAGATACTGTAATTATCAGAGAGCCATCAATAATCTGATTAGACGGCCATCGTGGAGTATATATCAATAATCTCCATTTCACAAACTATAATAAGAGGAATCAGACTTGTTAGAATCAACATATAATACTGCAACCAGCAAATGTCATGCAGTGTTCCACACCTGTGTGATTCTTTGCTGCTAGCCATCTCTTGTTTACATATATAAACATTAAAATGATGATGTGATAAAAGGTAATAAAAACAAATAAGGTTTTTTTTATTTTTTCATTTCCTCTTTTTCTTATCTGATGCTTTGCTTCTCTTCCTAATGCAAAATATCCTTCCCTCAAACCTTATATATATTTCACCATGTATCGACACGTTACTCCTCGAATGAATGTCTGGGGGAACGATAAAGATCGTAAGGAGCCCACAAATGATCAACACTACATGGTTTTCTTGAATCCAATCTCAACCATGGCTTACCTTTGCCACTCCAATGTAGTAGGCTAATAGGTCCAGGATGCAAACTCCTGCATTTACCTTCAATATTATCACCACCTAATCCATGTTGGTTCCATTTATGATCAATTGGCATTATATTTCCTGCCCATACAAGCAAGAATGGTGGCATAGAACCCAACTGATATATCCTCTTTTGTTTCTGCACAACCATCCAATCCTCAACTCTCTTTGTATAATTTCCTTGTCTCCACTTATCCACGTCCATTACCATCACCCCTGTGTTAAAATAGCACGGTTTTCGCCCTTCAAATGTTCTTGGCATATATGGATCAGACCAAAATGTTTTTGTAAAATAAGTGGTAAAATTTGCATGACAATATTCTGGTGCAGCCAAAACTTTGTCACCTAAATCAACCTTCCATAATTTCGCAATGTCATCAACCATGACAAGGTCAGAATCAAGATAAATTACGCGTTTCACCTCATCGGGGATCAAATTAGCCAAATATATTCTTGCATAATTCAAGGGTTGGTCTAAAGCTTGACGTATAGACTTGGAAATTAAGCCACGGACCCTGTGGACATTAAAGATGTAGACCTTAAAGTTGAGGTAGGGAAATGTGGACTTAATGCTTGAGAATACCTCGTGTTCATGTCTTACCCATAGAAAATGAAAAGTTACATTTTCAGGGCAAGTGGAATGTTGGAGAATTGATAACAAAGCAGCCATAGTACCTCTTAAGTAATTAGCATCAAGGGTCATGGCCACGTGAATCCGATCCGTGGCCAAAGATCCACATGTCTCCCCATTGCGAAAAGCAGGGGCCTCGCGGAAGACAGAAAAGATTGATCCAACCGGTCCATTTGCCACCTCTGGTTGATCAATAGGTTTTTGTACAATGGCAAAGCGAACATTGGTGGTGGTGATCAAGGAGGTTTGATGGGAAAGCAAGAGAGACAGGAGGCCAAGGAGAGGAAGAGAAGAAGAAAGGCTCCAAAAGGCCATCCAGCTCTTTGCATTTGAAATAATAATGTTAAGTTTAGGAGAAAGGAAAGAGAATTAGCAGCCATTGAAAGCTGGTTAAGAGAAGGTTTAGGAGAGGTTACAAATGATTGATTCATAAGAAGAAATTTTTTGTGAAAGGATAACAAAAGTTGGTAGGATTGTGAGGGAGAGAAAGAAGCTGCGGAGAATTCTTCTAATGACCTCTGCCTTATTTTTTACATATATTCCATTCCCCTCCATTTGTATCACAAAACAATATCTAATTAGCAATTCATTTTCATAGATTGACAAACGCTAGCCATTTATATTTTTAAGGATACCTAACAAATACTTACTCTTTAAAAGTCATTAATTAAAGTAACAATATATATACCTAAAAATACTTATTTTTACTAACAATACGCCATTACAAAGGAATTTATGAACTATTTTGATACATAATTATTTGATACTTATTACTAATTATAACCTCATACTTTTGTAATATAATTTGCAGGTTAGTAACCGTGGTACTACTTTCTAGAGGAATATTAGTATCAATAACAAGAGTCCTGGTCATGACAGAACAACTGATTCGAATGCGGCGAATATATACGCGGAATATCGTATATAGATAATTGTTAGATAAGATATTGTTCATTACATGTTTGTACCTCATAAAATCAAAATAAGTAAAATTACTTCACATGTATCTTATTGAACTTTGATTGTTCAACTTGATAGGTTTTGATGATATCAATCATCCTAACTTCGGCATTGTATTGGTGGTGAAAAAGAACTACACGTGGAATATTAGACCGCTGACATGGCATAACGCGTAGAGCAATAATATAGCGACACGTGGCAATCTTATTTGATAGGAAAAGAGAAGGCACGAGGAGAAATACCCACGAGACGGCACTGGACCTAACGGCTGGCAGAGAATGAATAAATAGTAGAAATAAGAAAAAATACATGGACCAGAAATAAATAAGGAAGGGGAATCGTAACAGATGTAAGGCATTTATAGCAATAAATGCATCGGTTATGAGAATCCAAAATAATGGGCAATCAATATCATTAATGCCCATAATTAGCCCAAATTATGGGGAAAAACCTGTTACTATTGTGTATTCCTATATAAGGGCATAAAATTCTATTTGTAAGGACATCTAATGCAATATTGAAATATACACTTTACTTTTCTGCTTTCTCAAAATTCTCTACCTTGACTTATCAATCAATTATTTCCTTAGTTGTTCTTGTTATTTTCCTTTGATATCATTAAGAAAGTGAAGCAAAACTTGGTTATCAGAAATCCGTTTTCTTCTAAACTTAGATTTTGATCGAAAGATATATTTTTTGGCTAAACAAATTGGTTCCGTTGCCGGAAATTCTGATAATCTTTTCACTTTTCAAATTCACTTTTATGTCAAACAATCATATCAACTGCTAACGACAACAACCAACTGAACCAACAAAACCAATAGGAGGGAGGAACTCCAATCCCTTCACCTCAAAATTCACCTCGACAGTCCCGGGAGGGGACACCTCAAAGATCAACATCGCACACGAATGATCAACAAGGGGACGATCAAACTGCCGAGGACGCATTAAAATAACTAATTGCGGAACACGCCAACAATGCTCTTCAAGCTTTTGTCAGTGGATTGCCAACTGCGCCACCAACTCCACTTCCAAACAACACTGCAACTATAGAAAACCCACGTTCGGGGCTTGCTAATTCGGGAAGCGGAGGAACTCCCAGTGAATCTCGCGATGGAAGGTCAGGTACACCAAATAATTCTGATTTACAAAGTTTAGTACTAACTTTGCAGAAGCAGTTCAAGGAGCAAAATGATCGCATAGAACAAATACTGGGTGTGCCACCCGTGATTAAAGGAGTGGATATTGACAAATATTCACAACAGCCCTGGAAGCCAAGTGCAGCTCCCTTGCCGATACTGAAGAAGTTTAAAATGCCCGATATTCCAAAGTATGATGGAATGATCGACCCACGGGTTCATGTAAATGCGTTTACAGCTGACGTGAAAGGCAATGATTTAACCAAGCAAGAAATTGAGTCAGTGCTGGTCAAAAAAATTGGTAAAACACTTACAAAAGGAGCACTAACATGGTATTCTCTTTTACCAAAAAATTCTATTGATTCTTTTGTTGAGCTTGCAGATTCATTTATAAAAGCACATTCGGGAGCTCAAAAAGTTGAGAAGAGAATGGAAGACATCTTCAAAATAAAACAAGGAGATACAGAGCTACTGAGGGAATTTGTGGATAAATTACAACGTGAAAGAATGATGTTACCACGCGTACCTGACAATTGAGCGGCCATGGCGTTTGCGAGCAACTTAAACGAAAAAAGCTCGGAAGCCACGAGGAGACTTAAGGAAAGCTTACAAGAATTCCCTGTTATAACTTGGAATGATGTGTACAACAGGTACAGTACGAAAGCTACGGATAGAAGAAGACACTATCACTCGGTCAAGGGGTGATGAAAGAACATGTTCGAGGGACCAGAAACCGAAAAAAGTCCTGGAAGAACAAGTATGAACCTTACATGGGACCAGCAGAACGGGATTCACGCTCAAAACAAGAAAATCCAAGGGATTGTTCTAGGTCAAGAGACAAAGACGCGGGTTCATCATCCAAGTTCGGGAAAAAGCGAGATGTTCGGGACAACAATGTTAATACAAAGGTAAAGATTGGTGATTACAATTTCAATGTTAGCACTTCTAAATTGGTAGCTATTTTAAGAAATATGGGAGATAAGGTACGGTGGCCAAAAGAAATGAGATCGCACCCTAACAGAAGAAATCCATATTTCTGGTGCGAGTTTCATAACGACCACAACCATAAAACAACAAATTGCAGATTGCTACTAGGTGAAATAGAGCATTTGTTAAAACAAGGTTATTTAACTGATTTGTTTGGTGAGAAGGGTAAGCAAACGTATATGAAGAATAGACAAGAGCCACCAAAACCCCTATCACCAAAAAGGACGGTTAATGTGATAAGCGGAGGTGAGGAGGTTAATGGTGTGACATATAAGACTTCAAAAAAGACATCAAACGTCATGGTTACCCACGGAAAGCGAGTTCGCCAAGTTTTGGAAGAAGACAGTATAACATTTGATGATGTAGATACAGATGGCGTGATGACCCCTCACAACGATGCACTGGTATTTTTTCACTTGTACATGATACTAATGTGAAACGAGTTTTGATTGACCCAGGTAGCTCCGTAAATATCATCCTTCTGAGGGTGGTAAACGAGATGCAAGCTGATGACAAAATGGTGCCCAAAGCACGTACCTTATCTGGATTCAACAATTCAAGCATTGTTACAAAAGGAGAAATAACGCTTGTCACATTTGTAGAAGGAGTTGTCAAAGATACGAAATTCCAAGTGAGAGATACGGACATGGCGTATAATATGATTCTTGGCAGGCCTTGGATTCATGATATGGATGTTGTTCCATCTACTTTTCATCAAGTTATTAAGTTCCCCTCTCAATGGGGGATTAGACAAATCCGTGGAGATCAGCAGGCTTCTAGAAGTATCAATTCAGTGGAGGATTCAGGCACAGTGAACGATGGTGCAGATAAAAGATAGCAATTACAGAACTCAGTTGAGGACACAGCAACACAAACCTCAACTAAAGGTGGACAAACGGACGTAGACTCAAGGCCTGATGTCATTCAAGAGCCAGAAGAAAATGAAAACATCAAAAAAACAATAGAAGAACTCGAGGCTATCACACTTTACGAGCAGTGGCCAGATAGAAAAGTTTATATTGGAATGAAGCTAAGCCCAAAAATGAAAGGTAAACTTGTCAAATTTTTACAAGCTAACGCAGATTGCTTTGCTTGGTCGCATTCAGATATGACAGGAATACCACCGGAGGTGATGACTCACAAGCTAAATGAAGATCCATCTTATCCACCTGTCAAACAGAAGAAAAGGAAGCAAGGATCCTTAAAAATCAGGTGATCCAGGATGAGGTACGAAAACTTTTATAGAATTGGGTCCATACGAGAGGTAAAATATCCTAACTGGCTAACTAATACTGTAGTAGTACCAAAAAAGAATGGGAAATGGCAAGTTTGTGTAGATTATACTGATTTAAATAAAGCTTGTCCTAAAGACTCGTTTCCTTTACCACATATAGATCAACCAATTGATTCAACTGCAGGACATAAGTTGTTGAGTTTCTTAGATGCCTATTCAGGATATAATCAGATAAAGATGGATCCTTTAGATGAGGAAAAAACTTCCTTTATCACAGACATGAGGACTTACTGTTATAAAGTCATGCCTTTCGGATTAAAGAATGCTAGAGCCACGTACCAAAGATTGGTAACAAAAATGTTCCAAGAACACATGGGAAAAACTATGTAAGTCTACATCGATGACATGTNACTGCATGACATGAGTTGTTGAGTTTTTTAGATGTCTATTCAGGATATAATCAAATAAAGATGGATCCTTTAGATGGGGAAAAAACTTCCTTTATCACAGACAAGGGGACTTACTGTTATAAAGTCATGCCTTTTGGATTAAAGAATGTTGAAGCCACGTACCAAAGATTGGTAACAAAAATATTCCAAGAACACCTGGAAAAAACTATGGAAGTCTACATCAATAACATGCTGGTCAAGTCAGAACAGGCGGGGGATCATATCCAACATTTGTCAGATACTTTTCAGATTCTCCGCAAGTTCAATATGAAGTTAAATCCCGAAAAATGTGCCTTTGGCGTAGCTTCAGGTAAGTTTTTAGGTTTCCTTGTTTCTAACCGAGGTATTGAAGTAAACCATGCATAGATCAAAGCCAACCAGACATACTCACGAGCAAAAAGGAAGTGCAGAGGGTGTCAGGCAGGATAACAGCTTTGAGAAGGTTTATTTCTAAGTCTTCGGAGAAAAGTTTTAAGTTATTTTCAGTGTTGAAAAAGCAAAAATAATTCGAGTGGACTGATGAATGTCAACAAGTGCTCAAAAATCTAAAAGCATACTTGTCAAACCCACCGTTACTGG